AAAAAAATAATATAAAAAATTATTCCTACATTATTTTTCCTTTTCTTATTTTTCTTTTTTTGCATCAAGGTGGGCAAACCATCGCTTGCCACGTAAGCATGAGACAGCCACATTTCGCCACACGATGCAGTCCTCAAACGGCAGTTAACAGCAGTTAAGTTGACTGTGGGAGGAGGGGCAAAATTGCTCGGATTGTAGAGTTCAGGGGCTTATATGCATCAATTAGAGTCTAGGGGCTTAATAGCGATTCTGGGGTTGGTTCAGGGGCTTAACTTATGGTTTTGCCTTTATCTGCACCAAAACTTGTATTCGAACTTGTTCCCATTTCATGATGTAACTAATAACACTTCTTCTCATGCCATCTCCGCAACCATAAGATATTTTTCAATCCATGGTTGTTGTAATATCCTTAGGATATAGTTTATTCATCCTTTGTTTTAATTTTTCAAGCCTTTTGATCTGCAATGCTTGATGATGTTGTCATACCCATTCAGATGCAGAGCACCTGCCTCAGATTCCCCTTACTAGTTAAAATACTACTTGATATTAGAATATTTTTGAGATGAAATCCTCCAAATTATCTGCCAGTTGACCTTGCCATGTGATATTCTATCAGATACAAATCTATAATAGTTAGTATTAAAGACAATGATGGTATAACTTATATTTCAAGATTTGATTTAACATTTTTTGGTTTAGTCATTAAAAAATTATTATTTTTTAATCTAAAATTAAAAATAGATAAGTATAATGATATAATCATACACACATGATATATAAATCGGTTAAATTGACTGCATTTATATTATATTTTTAATGATTAAATTAGAAAGTATTGAACCGAGTGTTGAATCAGAAAGTGTATCAAACATTTCCCTAGTATTAATTATACCATAGAAGAGTTGGTCAATGCATCTGCGTTTGCACGAAACGGTAAACACATGTTACACATCCCTTCCACAGAAGAATGCTGCCTCTTGTCCCGTTAACAAAATCTTCATCCTGTTTCTTATCCTCTATCTTTCTTTCTATGTTCTTCGATAGAGACAACAACAAAATATTAGGATATTACTTGCACAGAGAAGCTATTGAAAGTAGGATTAGTAGAGATGCTAGACAATTTTCAACTAAAACACGTGAAACACGTGATGATAACTTGTATTTTCGTTTTAATTATCGTGCAATTACCTCAATTTTCGCCGCAGAATGGGTGAGCATCTGACCAATCATAAAATAATTAAACTAATAAACCTGTATAATTAACCTTCCTTTGGTAGTTGTACTTAGAGGTGTTCCCAGTATGATTTGGTTCGAATTTTAATATTAAATTAATTCAATTTAATCGGTTAATAAAACTTTCAAACCAATCAATACACTATTATGGGTGTTTATATCTGATTCAATCCAATTGATCTGACTTAAACTGATAAAATCCAATCAAAAATCGATCCAAACCAATATAAAATTGGGTTGGTTTGAATTATAAAATTTTAAAACTTATATAATTGATTTGGTTTGTGATTTTACTTTTAAACCGCCCAAATTACCCGATTACAAAATAAAATCTGATTACAAGATAACTTAATTAAATAATATAATATATTTTTTGTAGTATTTTAAAATTTTTTTCTTTTTTTACAAAATAATAACTCCATTAACTTAATTAAAAAATAAAAATAAAACATCTCCATATTCCCTAAGTTATTTTTCCATTTTAATCATACATTCTAACCTTAATTCTAAATTTCTAACTCACTTGCAACTCTATCCCTTCAGATTGGTTTACGCCTTTATTATTAGAATCTTAAATTTTTAATTTATTCTTAAAATAATCTTATAATTCTCCTAATTAAGTTTTAAATAAGTATCATTCTAAAAATCTTAAAACTATATAATAAAATTAGTCTTGATATTCCTACTATTCTTGAATATTTGGTTTAGAAGTTTAAAATTTTGATTATGAATACTTCTAATCAATTTTAGTGATATTCACGTAAAATTTATTTATGTAAAATTTATTCACTTTTAACGAGATTTAAAAGATGAGATTAAATTATTAGTGCATTATGAAAAACAACTAATTTTAATATTTAAGAATTATTTACGCTGTACTGGAAATTTGAAGTTATCTTTTATTATTTTTGGTGCCTTTAGTGATATAACCAAGAAGAATTTTTAGATCTTTTCAAATTTTACAAATGTAAAGGAGTATAAGAACTCATTTATAATTTGTACTTTTTATTATGTTTTTACTGATTTGCATGTTAATGTGTTTTATGGTTATGTTTTCTATTTGATGTTAAAATATTTTTACATTATCTTATATATTTAATAATGTAAAAAATCGATCAATCCGACTAAACCACACCGATCCGATTTAAGTTGGATTGGTTTGGTTATCATATAATAGTGGATTAGATTGGTTTAAAAATTTTATTAACCGATTAAATTGGATTAGTTTAAAAAATATTAAAATCCGAATCAAATCATTTTTTAAATCCGAATCAAATCACCCCGTGAACACCCCTATCCACTATTATATGATAACCAAATCAATCCAATTTAAATCGGATCGGTGTGATTTAGTCAGATTAATCAGTTTTTAACAATATTAAATACATAAGATACTATAAAAAATTTTAATATTAAGTAAAAAAAATAACTATAAAATAAATTAACATCCAAATTACTAGAAACATAATAAAATGCATAAATTATAAATAAGTTATTATACTCATTTACTATTATAAAGATTGAAAAGATTGAAAATTTTTTTTTGGCTAAATCACCAGAGGCACTAAGGGTAATAAAAGATGATTTTAAATTTTAAATACTGTACAAGTAAATTTTAAAGGTTAAAACTAGTGTTTTTTTTCCTTAATGCACAAAATGATTCAATCTCATTTTTCAAACCCTGTTAAAAGCAAATAAAATTTAACACGAATGTAGAAGCATTCATAATTAAGATTTAAAACTTTTCAACTAAACATCCAAAAATAGTAGAATATCAAAATTAGTTCTATTATATAATTTTAAGACTTCTAGAATGATATTTCTTAAAATTTAGTCAAGAAAATCAAAATATTATTTTAAGAACAAATTAAAAATTTAGAGTTTTAAAAGTAGAATCTTAGAGCAGTTTTAAGAAATCGAGTTACAGGTTAATTGAAAATTTAGAATTAGGATCAAAGTGCACGATTTAAAAAGGAAAATAAATTAACGAATATGAGAATATTTTATTTTTATTTTTTAATTCAATTAATGGAGTTATCGTCTTATAAAATAAGAAAAAATTTAAAATATTACAAAAATATACTATTTTATTTAATTAAGTTATTTTATAATCAGATTTTATTTTGAAATTAAGCAATTCAGGCGGTTTGAAGGTAAAACTACAAACCAAATCAATTATATTGGTTCTAAAATTTTATAATTAAAACCAATTCAATTTTATATCGGTTTGGTTTAATTTTTTATCGGATTGAATCAGTTTAAGTCGGATTAATCGGATTGGATTGGATATGAACACCCCTAGTTGTACCTTCCATGCTATTTTTGCTTCAATGATTTTTATTCAAACTAGAGCTTAACTCGAACATTGCGTAATTCATCTATATTTTTTTAGAATTTTATTAATTTATTAACTTCTATTGTGAAAAAATATTTTAAAATTAAGTCATTTTAATAAAATTTTATTAAAAAAAATTAACATCCTAATTATTTTTAGGGCATGTTTGGTACAATGGTTAAAATTTAGCAGATAGCGGATAGTGGATAGCGGGTAACGGATAGCGAATAGCGATAACGGGTAACGGATGACAGATAACAGATAACAGATAACGGATAACAGAAAATAGATAGTAAATAATAGATAGCAGATTCGATAAATATAACAGTTTGGTTATATAATAGTTAGCAGTTATTGTTTAATATTAAATGATTAATAAAGAAATATTTAAAAACAATTAAGTGTATTTTTTAAAATATTTTTTTATTTTTTTATTAAAATTATTAATTTTATGAAAATAATAATAGAAAAATAACTAAATAAAATTAATTATAATAATGTAATTATGCCCTTATTTTTATTTTTAACAAAGAAAAAATTATATTATTTTAAATAAAAAATTAATCATTTTATCTAATTAACAAATTTTATTTTTTACGATAATATATTTTTTAATGATAAATTAATGTACAAAATAAAAATATTATAATCACTTAATATTATTAAAGAAAAAAACAAAATTAAAATTTATTAGATAAATATTAATTAAAAAATGTGATTAAAAATTAAAAAATTAAAAAAGATAAATTTATCAATAAAATTAAAAAATTCCAACTCACTAGCGAATTAGTACAAAAAACTATTTAAACTAGTTTTTCAATTCGTTAGTGGTTTGGACTCTAATCACTATCCGCTAATCCTAAATTGCTAAATAAAAATATTACCAAAAACATTATTTTTAGTGGTTTCAAAACATATAAGTTTACTGAACACTTATACTTAGCGATTTAAATAAAACCACTAATCGTTGCCCAAAACCAATATGCCAAACGGACCCTTAAAATAAAAATGAAGATGTAATTTTTTCTTGTAATGTTTTTCCACCTAACTTTTTTTATAAATTTAACTGATAACATTAATCTTTAATAATTAATTATAAATATATCTTAAATTATTTGTCAATAATCTCTATCTATTCTCTCTACATTTGTCAAGAAATCAAGGAAAAGTAAAATACTTTTATTAATTATAGAAAAAATTAGGAGAACAATCTAAATACTTTTCCTATATATATCACTAAAAAAAATTTAGAAGTGAAATAGGTATCACTTTTCATTTCATTCATTTTTATTGAGACTCCATGTCTAAGTTTATCCTTAACATTTTATATTAATATTATATTTATTTATCTATCATACATTTATATTTTTTTTCTTTCACTATACTCTAGTATCAAGAAAATATAAAATTAAGAAATTTAGGAGCTCAATTTGACATATTCATACACTCTTCAATACTGTTCCATATAGAAATTGAAATGTACACATTTATATATTCCTTATTTAAACCAAATAATTAAACACATATTCAACTAAAATTCAAGAATCTTTTATTTTTATGTTACAAATAATTAATAAGAATTACAATACCTCGTAGAGGCAAAAGCACTTTTAATTTAGTCCAGTTTTCATACTAAATATAATTAAAACAAAACTCTCTTTATATCAGCATAGTTTTAGATACAAAAAACTATCAATAAATTAATAGGAGTTAATCTATGCTGTGCCCTTATAGCACAGTATAAAAAACATTAATTATATAATAATTGTTATTTTTTGTCTTAAAAATAATAAAGTTAATTTTTTATTTTAAATATAAATATCATGTGTTAGATTTTGATTAATTAATTTTAAATTAAAAATTAAAAATTATTTGTTAATATAAAATTTAACTTTTTTTCAAAAAAATTATAATAATTATTTAATAATGGTTTCTTATTTTATACTTAAAGTATGAGATAGAAAAACTCAATTAATAAAATAACATCACAATAAAGGCCTCCATTCTAGCCATCAATTTTTAAAGGCCCACCCTGCCCAGATGATATTAATGCTTTTAGATCTGCAATCCAAACCTACGCCTCTACTTTTTCCTTGCAAATCCAGAAGACAACGAATATCAAATTGACAAGAGACGTAGGTCAAAGGAGAAGACAATAAACAACACTTAATCTCATCACTAACCAGATCAAGTGGTCACTTTCAGTTGTTATATATAAGAGAAAATGAAAAATAATCCTTCTAGGGAGACGGAAATACTGCTAGAAAACAGCCTGATAGAAATTAAAATGATGAATTGACGTCGGCAACATGAAAACAATAATGATAACATGAATCACAATTACCTAGATAAAGAATGTAAAAAATAGAAAAATTGCCCATGGATAATGAATTCAAATTGTTCTTTAATTTCACCGAACACCAAAGCACAGAAGCTATAAAATCAATTCTTACTCCTACTTTCTCTTTGGTTCTCCACTACCATCCTTTTTTTTCAGTTTTTTTTACCGCGGCCCTCTAGAACAATGAAAACCCTAAACCTTTTAAATTAAAAATATATTTAAATTAATTTTTTTTAACAGAAAAATGTTAGATATTAGATATTACATATTAATTAATTGTTAGTAATTTTTTTAAAATATATTTTTAATAAATATATTTAAATTAATTGTTAGATATTACAGAAGATCCAGTTCTTAATAAAAAAAATACTAAATTGTATTCAAAATTTAATTAAATAGTTACTACATTATAGGAATTAAGTATGGGTCCCACACTTTTTTGGGCTTTATATGTCTAGCATTTTGTTTTGTTTTATACGTCTACCCTATATATTTTATGTTATTTTATATGATATAATTAAAATTGAATTGTATACCATTTGCGCCTTCGGTACAGTGACATCAGATCTTAGATCACACATAAAGTGTATCTCTTTTTTCTCTTGACAATGGTTCGAATATAATCCTTGTAAATTTGTTCAAAAAAAAAAAATGAATTGTGTATATAATTAGACTTATTTTCTATTTTCTATTAATTTTCATTAACTCTCTAAAACTTAATGAAAATTGAATTGTATTTTTTTAGAAGATTTGAACTACTCTTTAATAGATGTTTTTTTTTTTTTAAATCCCATTAGATATTTATTGAAGATTTTTTTAAAAATTAGCTTATTGGGCATTTATTAAGGATTTTCTTAAAGGTCATTGAGTATTTATTAAGGATTTTTTTAAAGTTCAATGAGTATTAATTTAAAGATTTTAAAGAAAATTTTGTTATTATAATAGTTTTTTTTTTGTATTAGTCTCTTAATATCTGGTAATCACATTAGGTCTCGATTAATTTAGAATTGAACTGCATCGGATCTCATTAGGAGAAACTCTTCCAATACCTGTTTTCTCCATTCATAAGATTCGAACTTGAAACCTTATTTAAGAGGAATCAAGCTCTTTTCACTCGAATCAACAAGTCGTTGGTATTATAATAGTTTTATATATAATTAAAAAAAAGACATTTTCTTCATCTGCCTTCAAGAGAAAAATGGAGAAAAAAAAAGGGGACACTTGCACAGCGAATCCAAATAAAAGCTATTGATAGTAAAAAACGAAATGTTTGATGTTAAATGACCACAAGAATGCTAAGGGGTCTCTGGTGAAACATAATTTCTACTGACTCTGGTGTGGACAAAGTGAACAAACCCCTTGTTTGTAAGGATCGGCATAGCATACTACTACTGGTACTGGACATTATTTTTTCATACTAGAAGGGAAAATATAACATAGAAAATGAAAAGTACAAGACTCAGTAAAACATCTGCACAAAAAAGGCAATGCAGCTAAACATCTGGTATCATCTAAACAGGTGGTATATTCGAGGAGGAGAAACCTTTATATCCCTTGTATGCATAGTATGCGATCCGTGTATAATAGAACCCAGGAATAAACAAAATGACACCGAGTATTGTAAAGAAAAGCCATGCCACATCAGAAAAAGAAAGTGAATAATAAAGCTTGACAGCAGATATAGAAGGCCAATTGTTCAGTCAACGTAATTAAGTACCCTTCGAATAGGAATCCATTTTCTTTTTCTAAAAGATCCTGGTTTTCATTCTTAATGATTGATAAATTCAACTTTCTTCTAATTTAACAATTTAGAAAGAAGAATATTTTTGGTAATTCTTCTCCAAGCTTATAAGGCAAGAAAGGTATTCAAATCAGAAGTTTAGCTCCTAATCCTTAGTGATATTATTTCCAAAACCTAATAACCTATGCATATTGCCACATCCCTGTTCATTGAAATCCTCACATTGGATTCCGCTATCCATCTCTCCTAGTAATGAAAATTATTTTCAATTTCAACAGCATCCCTTTGTTATTGATAAATTAGACATTGTAAAAAACCATCTCAGCTAGATGATTTGGAAAGTGATCCCCCATCTCCTCGAGGATTATCCATCTATGCTGGTGAAGAAAAGCATTTTACCACATCCACGTGGGATGCTCATAAATGATACATTGTCTACAAACTATCCTCTCTTCTAGAGGATTATTCAAAGAGACGTCCTATCTCAATTTCAGTTCAGTAGTAGACGACTAGGAGGTTGATTTATAACGTTACAGTATCTTTGTCCAGCCAAGAGGATTTTTCAAAGAAATCACTGGGAGTGTTAGCAGTGTGGTTTGGTTTGAATTTTAATATTTTTTAAATCAATTTAATTTAATTGGTTAATAAAATTTTTAAATTAATCTAACCCACTATTATATGATAACCAAATCAATCCAACTTAAATTGGATCGGTGTGGTTCTGTCGGATTGATCAATTTTTAACATTATTAAATATATGAGATTATGTAAAAATATTCTAATATCAAATAGAAAATATAACTATAAAACACATTAATATCCAAATTAGTAAAAATATAATAAAAGTTATAAATTATAAATAAGTTTTTATACTTCTTTACATTTGTAAAAATTGAAAAGATCTTAAAATTCTTCTTGGTTACATCAGTAAAGGCACTAAGAATAATAAAAGATAATTTCAAGTTTCTAGTACAGCGTAAATAATTTTTAAAGGTTCAAATTAGTTTTTTTTTTTCTTAATGCACTAATAATTTAATCACATCTTTTAAATCCTATTAAAAGTAAATAAAATTTAACATAAATATCACTAAAATTGATTAGAAGCATTCATAATCAAAATTTAAAACTTCTAAACCAAATATCCAATAATAGTAGAATATCAAGACTAGATTTATTATATGATTTTAAGACTTTTAAAATAATATTTTTTTAAAACTTGGTTAGGAGAATCATAATATTATTTTAGGAACGAATTAGAAATTTAGGATTTTAAGAGTAAAGGCGCAAACCAATTTTCAGGGAATAGAGTTATAGATAAATTAGAAATTAGGAATTAGGGTTAGGGTGGATGATTAAAATGAAAAAATAATTTAAGGAATATGGAGATGTTTTATTTTTATTTTTTAATGAAATTAATGAAGTTATTATCTTGTAAAATAAAAAAAAAATTAAAATACTACAAAAATTATATTATATTATTTAATTAAGTTATCTTGTAATCGGATTTTATTTTGTAATTGGCCAGTTTAGGCGGTTTGAAAGTAAAATCACAAACCAAACCAATTATATCGGTTTTAAAATTTTATAATTTAAACCAATCAATTTTATATTGATTTGGATCGATTTTTGATTGGATTGGATCAGTTTAGGTCTGATCAATCGGATTTAATCAGATATGAAAACCCCCAGTCTCAAGTAAGCAACTCTAATTTCCTTTTCTTTTCCATTAGTGTGGCATTAAATAACATTGTAACTCACACACCTTTTTCTGATATTGTGGTCAGCAGAAAGAGGGAAAAATTTATGTAATCTTGAGCAATGTGGGGTTTGCAGATTTTATAAAATGTTTATAATTAAAACTTGAATTAGGATTTGTTAATATAAATTTCTGTTTCCTTCTTGCATCTAGTATTATTAGTGTCTAAATCACTTTGCATTTTAGGAGATGATGTTTTGTTTTCTTTATATTAAAGAATATTTTTTGTCGCGCTTATTTTTATTTAGCACTTGAAATGGATATAGTTTTCTTTTTATCTTTTGTGTATGGTATGCAGTGGAACTATATATATAGAGGTTTATTAAATTTAATTTTGTAGTAAATAATTCTTAGTATATAATTCTTATTTGACAATTATGGACCACAAACCATCTTACGCAAGTTTCATTAGTCTCTATTCCTTGATTGATCCAAGATAATGCTGAGTGCATATTGTCTAATTCGTTTCATCTAGGACAAAAGTACGTAGTTCTAAGTGTTCATAATCACACAAAATTTTATTTTGTTGCTGCATTTTATATATATGTTTTGTTCAACTTGCTATCTTGTTTCTTTTATTGAAACTTGGGTGTTGAATTTTATATACATGCAAACAATTTTCTATAACTACACAAAAAAAAATTAAATGAAAAGGATTTATATAGCAATGTCATATCGCAAACAATAAACCCTTCTAGTTTGCTTACTTGCAATTGTTTAACGGCAGGGATAGGTAGAGTACCAACAACACCTTGTTTAAGATAATCATGAATGTAGAAGGGAAGGTTAAATGTCGATTTTGATCTCTTAATTTTAAAGTTTTGCATAATTTTCATCTCTCAAAATTTTTTTTTTGGTATGGTTTCTTAACTATGAAAAATATACATTTTTAGTTATTCCGTCAATTAATCCATTAAGTTTAAGTTGAGAGACGAAAAAATGTATAAATTTAAATAAATTTAATAAAAAATTTTTTTTAAAAAAAGCAAAAGTAATATTTATTGAAACGGAGTACAAGGGGTACCCCAAACCCGTAAACATCTCAGTTTGAAAGCAAAGGGATAGTCAAAAAGCCCTTCCGTTCGGTATCGACACCTATATAATGTGTCGACACCATGTCCGTGTCGGAGATTTGGCTAAGCTCTTCCGTTTGGTGTCGACACCCTAATAAAGTGTCGATACCACGTCCGTGTCGGGATTCACAAATGCTCAGCCCTTCTAGAATGCCATAACCTCCCTTTTTTATGCCCTCTGTCATCCTTTTTTCTTGCTGCAGTTCACCCTCATACATTCAGTCGGGTTTAATATCCAATTGGAGAGGGAAAAAAAACAACCTCCCCGTCTGCCTTTTAACCAATGGAAGGCACGTAGTTGGATTAACTCAAATAACCTTCCTTCCTTCTGTGCTTTCCCTGTGAATATTTGCTCGTTCCTAGCCAACCAAATTGTCCACACCATAGCGAACCAAATGCATTCCCAGCCTTCTTTCATCGCCTCTGTTTTGAGTAAGAAGCTGTGTTGCTCAAACACTCCCCAGCAATCTTTATCAAGTGCAGTACAGAGACCCCACCACTAGTTACATGCAGACCATAAGTTGTATGCTAGTTTGCAATGGATAAAAAGGTGGGCGGAATCCTCCTCTTCCACTTTGCAAAAAACACATTTACTTTCTGCAGGGTCTTGAATGACGCCCCTTCTTAGCAAGTTTCCTTTTGTTGGTATCTTATCTTGGATTAATTGCCATGAGAATGCTGCAATCTTGCTTGGCACAATTGGGTTCCAAGTCCTTTTGAGAATTGAGTGTCGTTGCTCTCCGTCTGGCTCCATCGTGAGTACTTTGTAAGCTGATCTTGTAGAATATTTCCCATCTTTG